TAGCACATGGTCTAATGAGTTTTGAGGCTCATCACAGATTGCACTTACGGCTATCCTGCCTGGCCTTCGCTATCAGAGGAAAGGTACCAACTTTTGGAAAGCAAAACAGGAGTGTAGACATCTATCTATGCAACGTTTTAAACGAAACGAAGGAGTAAAATTCTCATTCTTAAAGTGCCGAACTGGTCAGTCATCCTCGAATCAGTTCGCTTGCTTCTGCTTATATATGCATATTTTAAATCAGCGCGTCGTGCTCTTAGGCTTTTTTTAAAAAAACCAAGTAACGTAGACTCTTGGTATTCACTGCAAATAAACTAGCGAGCCCCAGAATGAGAAACAACTTTAAATCATAATTATTGACGGATAAATAAACTTTTTACACGCTTTGTAAAATCTCAGAAGTTCGCGGTAGTCACTTTTCGGTAAGGAACTATAGTCTGTCCCAGATAGGAAGAGCGCTGGAAATTCAGAATAATTTGCACTATGTAGAAGCAAGGTATCGTTCGTTCTATTGTACCCGACTAATCACCGAGCAAACCCCGCGCCGTACAGAGGGTTGGTTATGAGCTCCGCGGCGCGTCGGCGTCTTACGCCGGGAATCCGCTCCTGGGCCTTGGGGAAAACCACCGCGGAAAGATGCGAAGGGAGTATGCGTTGCCTCGAGGTGACTTGTGGCCCTCTGTGCGACGCATTTGAGAGGCGACTAGATGACAGGTAACAAGGGTTGAGGTACCTCCAACCCGCCAAATAGTGCTAATTATTCTGATTTTCCAGCGCTCTTCCTATCTGGGACAGACTATAAGGGACTCGGTTATTGTATCGAGCAGGGTTCGAAACGATCGCAAAGGCGGTATACTACGTATACGCGCCAAAAATCCCAGAAGTTTCATTCCTGCGATTCGAACTTGGGGCAAATCCCATGGAAACGTCCCATGGAAACAAAGCCTCACATCAACCTTATAATCAAATGAATTTATTAACAATGGGAAGTTTGAAGAGCGTATTTTAAATACTGCGAACGGATCTGAACAGATAATAGATCGCTTCCGATACATCAAATAGGTGAGATTGTATCGGTATCGGTTGGTTCAACATGTAAACATAGCCTCAAAAGTCAATCGAGTAATCTGAGGAAACGGGGGTTTTCCCATAGATTTTTTATTTTTATGAGTTCTAAATGGCATCGCAAGGTGAAATAGTTAGGAATTTTCTCATTTTCAGCTTTTCCGACTGAAATCCTGAAAGTTTTGTTTGAGGTCTTGTTCTATTGTTTTGAACCAAACGATACATCGAACCACTATCGAAAACGATCTATGATCGTCAACATTATCAACTCTGCCTATCTCCATCTTTTCCTCATTTTCTGTGTCTATCGTTTTGTCTACCAATTGCAATAATCAGCCCGCAGGCTGATTTTAACGGGTATTTTCTTACCTTTTGGCGACGTCCCAAGCAGCGGCAAGTATGCAATTGCCGGCCATGTCTCCGGGGACTATTTCAGCTTGGACCCCTTCGTCACAGTGGATGGTCCTGAGAACGCCGGCCGCTGCACCCACAACGATCCCACCAGGCCCGTACAGATTGTCGATCCATCCAGGCAGCGGCTCGTTGTAAGTCGTCGTAACTGAGGGCAGAAAACGCGCGAAATTATAAGCTGCAGGATTCCATCAGGATCAATCGGTGAAAACCTGTAGCTAGGCTACCCGTTGAGGCACAAGGCCAGCTGTTAAACGTGATTGACTACAAGATGGACCTCCTTGCGACGATGTTTTAACTAACGAGCAGACGTGTTTCAGACAGTGGCGTGGCGTGAAAGATCGATTATCGATATTTCTCTATTGGAAGCTATGGTAAAGAATCGATTATTAAGGTGTTGGTTGCGAACACCCTGTTTATCGATCCTTTTCCATAGGTTTAAGTGATAGATCTATCGATGTATCGCAAAGCGCTCCACGCCACTGGTTTCAGACCTACGGCCCATCCTCGGTGCGAATCACAGACTCACAGATTCGCACCTATGACGGGCCTTATGCTTGAAGCGCATCTGCTCGTTACTTAAAGAATCGTCACGAGTGAGTTTTTTTTTTTTTCTTCGCTCTCCTTCCAAAGTGTTTAAAACTGCTTCATTTCCTATCTTAACTTGTGCGGAAATATAGCTTTCTCTTTTATAAATGGACCTCTTCAAAAAAAAGATCGATTATCAGGGTGTTCGCAGCGAACACCCTAGTAATCGATTCTTTATCATAGTTTCAAAAGGCGAGATATCGATAATCGATCATTCACGCCACGCCACTGTTATAGGGAATGAGCATGGCTTTAAGAATTCAAGACACCACGGGTAAGGTTGCTTAAATTGTAGTTTAATGCTTAGAGCTTGCGTCAATATTTATTCGTTTACTTACTAATAGCTGGTCGAACAACAGATAATGGTAACCCAGGCGCTCCTTTCCTGACCACTTCTTCGGCCGCAGCCTTTGTGAAAACGTAAGTGTTTGGCCATTCATTGAGGAGTCTGAAATGATACAATATTACATTTTGTCATACAATTCGTGAAATTATTTAACGAAATTAGCCTTTAAAAAAAGAAAAAAACGGACTAATAAAACAGGCAGATAAGGAACCAAGTCTGAATAACCTTAGTACAGTTTTATTTAGTACTTCTAATATCAAAGTAGGGAGGACGATAATCGTTTTTCCACAATTTACTTCTTCAACGGAAGTGTACTTTTTTCAAAATTGACAGTTGAAATTTTGGTGAGGCGAGTTCTCCCAGTCAATGCTCATCTTCTTCGGGGAACTTTAAAACGCGCCGACGTAGAAATAGCCGAGTACCTCTGTAATACGAACGTTTTAGAGCTTTCGCCCGTAATGTTAGTTTAATAGCGCTGCCACAGTCAGGGAAAACCGAGAAATGTCAGGGAATGTCAAAAAGTCAGAGTAAGTGACGAAAGAGTCGGGATAAAATCTTACACTTTCCTTCATTAGCTTTTTAGATTGGACGCAACGTCTACAACAAGAATTTTTGCCCAAAAACTTTTCCAAAATACGCCTTTTCGTGCCATATTGCATATTTCATTTGCAGGGCATTTTACTCCAATGTGTCTGGGGTTCAGGGATATGTCAGGGAATTTGAGGTGATTCGATGGACGCCATATTTTTTGTCAGAACGGCATGCGATATATCGCATGAATTGGCTCCACTTTTTCGGCTACTCGTCATTTTTCTCCAATTTTGCGATCGCAATTCTGTTGTCAGGAGACTAAAGCACTCACTTACCAATTTTAACAAAGAAATTCAACGTAATAAAGACGTGGTTTTTTCAGAAAGAAAACATCGCTTTCGATTCTGATATCAAAACTGCACTCGAATGCGATATTTTCTCTCTGAAAAAACTACGCCTTTATCACGTTGAATTCCATTGTTACAATTGGTAAGTGAGTGCTTTAGTCTCCTGACAACAGAATTGCGATCTCAAAATTGGAGAAAAATGACGAGTAGCTGAAAAAATGGAACCAATTGATGGGATATATCGCGTGTCGTTCTGACACCAAATATTGCGTCCATCGAATTTCCTTAATTTTCTAAATTTTGAGGCATTCTCGGTCGAAGTATTCGGGCTTTTTGTGTGTATTATCGTTTACGGAATTAGCGCGGGAGCCCCAACTGCAATGTTAGGAAGAAAAGTTCATAAAACAGAGCGCTTCTAAAACCTACGTACGTAAGCTTCCTGCTCGTTTAAAAACTTCGAACCGAACTCGCGTCTTGACGGCTGCTGCCCCCCCCCCTCCCGCCTGCCCCGTCGTTCCCGCTGTAGGCTCCCCCTCCGGACGTGGAGTGCTGTATGCGTTTTTATTCAATCACGTAGTTATTCATCGGATCTCGTGTCGGGGTCGGGGTGCTTTCTATAAGTCGCCGGGTCCGTTCGCGCGCTCTCAGCTCGCTCTCCGCGGCGCACAGTGGATCGAGTCAATAGAAGAGGTCGGACAAAATTTGGAAACTTTTAACGCTTATTACTCCGTTTATACAAAAGTTTGAGGTTCGGAAAGTGGTTCCATTGGTTCTCTCGTGAAATTTCCTTCTATTAGGACTCCTTGAACGTTAAAATGTGACGAAATTAACATCAAAATTCGCAGTTTTTGTCCGAAATTTCATGTCCGACCTCTCAAATTGACTCGGTCTACTGTGCGGCGTGCAGCGTAGCGCCTCCCCGACGCTAACTGCCCGTACCTCCTGCGAGGAATTTCTCCGCATTGCGAATCCGTAGCCGTTGCCACGTTCGCTCGCACCCTTTTAGCATCGAACGTTATGCGATATTTTTCCTGTAAAAAAACCACGCCTTTATCACCTTGAATGGAGATGTTGCATGTGTGAGGAATTTGCGAGCTGACAGTTGACTCTTGTGTAAAAGTTGGCGAGAAACACGATGGTGCCACCGGTTTTCTCTGAAATCAACTCCCCAGCGCAAAAAAAGCTCTCAAGTGGAGGCCAAAATGGATGAGATATCCCACGCTATCCTGAGAGTCCACGTCTATATCAAAACAAACTCTCCATGCAAAGATAGGAAGCAAATACATTGAGAGGGCTGCCACTTTATCTGGGGACTTCAAAACCGAAGGAACGGCAACCCTGCTAATGTATTCGTTCCCTATATTTGCATGGAGAGTTTGTCTTAATGTAGAGGTGGACTCTCAGGATAGCGTGGGGTATCTCCTCCATTTTGGGCTCAACTTGAGAGCTTTTTTTGAGCTTGGGAGTTGATTTCAGATAAAACCAGTGGCACCGCCGTGTTTCTCGCGAACTCTTACACAAGAATCAATTGTCAACTCGCAAATTCCTCACACATGCAACATCTCCATTTCTTTGTCAAATTTGGTACATGAAGTCTTCAGTCTCATGACAACAGAGGTGCGATCTCAAAATTCGAAAAAATTACAAGTAGCTGAAATTATGGAACGAATCGATGCGATACATAGCACGTCGCTCTGACACCAAAAATGGGGTCCGTCGAATATCACTTGAAATATAGACTTGGATAAACGTAAGAAACAATCTGTTCTAATGAGCGTGCCTAAATTACGGAACGCACTTTGACTTTTTGACATTTTTGACTCCCCATCTCTTCCGTTCGAATGCTTTTGTGACTTATGTACCTGATCTCTATCCAATAACACAAAACAAAATGGCGTAACGCTCCACTCGATGCCCCCCCCTCCTCCCCAGGGCGTTTCATAATTTATCGACGGCCGTCAAGGATTCGTTCCATTCTAATTTGAGTGTAATTCACGTTAAAAACTTGAGTTCGGTTAAATATTGGCATCATAATTTTGTTAAATTCTATAAATCCCGCATGTTCATGCTGAAAAACTAACTCCACTTCGGTGTTAGATAAATCGTAAAAAAGAACTTGTCGTTATGTTCAAATGAGAAACCATCTTGTTCTTATTTGTGTGAAATTCACGTTCAAACCTAAATTTTTTAATAAAGTCAGCATCTGAACTTGGCCGAATTCGACAAATCACCCATGTTGATTCTTAAACACCAATGGGGCCACCAATATGACTAGGGGACAATAATAACCAGCCAAAATTGCTGGAGTGGGCAATTTGATTCTAGTAGATACTGGTTTTTCACGTGAGCGGGAAATTCAAATCTTTTGTAGGCAATGCGAAGTAAGAACTTGTGAATGATTCAATGGCCGCCATGTTTTTGACCACTTGTGATGTTTATCGAATTTTGAGCTTTGTTTTGTCACAAGACTGAAGGATTCACTTACCGAAGACAAACAAATACAACAGGCAGGATTTTTTTAGAGGCAAAATATCCCATTCGAATGCAGTTTCGATATCGGTATAGAATGTGATATTTTACCTCTTAAAATAAACCTACATTTATTGCGCTAAATTTGTTTGTCAACCGAAACGCGATCTCGTAATTCGATGAAAATGACAAGTAGCCAAAACATGGAACTAGTGATGCTATATATATCGTTACCGTCCGGTCAATGTAGTACAAGCGCCATGCGTCGTCTCTAAATGTTCGCCGTCATTTTATTTTTTTACCGAGAAGTTGTTCAACGAAGCTCTCCAAAAATTTCACTGAATTTTCATTGTGCTGCCGATAAAATTCAGTGAAACTTTCAGACAGATTCAACCAACAATTTCTTAGTGAAAGAATTAATGGGCGGGAATGAAACGTCTCATGGCGCTTGTGATATACTTTAGCCGGGAGGTGACTATATATTGCATGTGTTGTGACACAAAATATGACCCCACCTCACATCTTGGGTTAGGGGTTAACATCAACAATATTTCTCGCACTGGAAAAGAAAACACATGGGATCTAGAGTCCAGACTCTTGAAAACATTGACAAGTAAAAATACTCTTGATTCAATCAGATTTAAGCTTAAATCAGAAGGAAATCCGCTTAAATTAAGAGGCTTGGTTCTTGATTTAAGCGAAAATCCGATTGAATCAAGAATATTTTTTCTTGTCGATTATTTTAAGAGTCTGGACTCTAGATCCTATGTGTCTTTTTTCCAGTGCGCGAAAATCGTATTTCACGTGAAATTTCAAAGCATAAATGTACCCTGTCTAGTTGTCGATTGCACTTAGGATGTTTCGAATTTCAAGACCCATCCTTTGCTTTTTTCCACCTCGAATTTCATTCCAGCACGTTCTCGGAGCGACGCGATGGTTTGGCAGTGCCGCTTTCGGCTCTAGCGCGGAGCGTGCGAAACTTCATGGTATCGCTTCTCATCACGTAACCCCAGCTCTGGAATATCTGCACGCACGCCCGACGGGGAATCGGAAAATCCCCCTGATAGGCCACTCTCCGTGGTAATTGGCGTTGAAAAGCGCGCACGTTTTCATGCTTATTCACAATCGTCTGAATTAAGTATCTCGAACGCATTTCATCCCTTCCTCCGCCGTGATGTGCAGCGCGCAAGGCAGCGACTCTTCGAGTCCAAGAGAAGACGGATTCTCTCACGGACCTCAAAGCGGATATTCAGCTTTGGCCAAATGCACTCTGACTACGATTATTAGCTTTTATAATTCAACCATCCGATAATTTACTTTTTGGGTATCTGCACCCTCGTAAAATCGGAAAACATCGGAAATTTTAATGTTTATCAGGGACAATTAAATCGGGAAGTATCGAGAATTTTATTTTTATGCAGGGAATTTGTCTTGCCTTTTAAAACATTTGATTGAATTCATCCGAAATGTTACTCTTAGTAAAAAACGGAAAATGTCGGGAATTTCGATGTTACCAGAAAAACGGCTATTAAACGGGGGATTCGTTGTGCTTCAAACATTTTTTAAGAATCAGATGTGTACTCTCAGTAAAATTCGAGAATATCGGGAATTTTGGTGTTTATCGCAGGAAAAACGGTCATGGATCAGATAATTCGTTGTGCTGCAAGTATTTTCCAAACATTTGATTGAATTCATTAGATATGTACCCTTGGTAAAAAGTAGAATTTATCGGGAATTATGTTGCTTGTCGGGAAA